TCGCGATGTAGGATTCCTTCCTGGAGCTGGAGAGCGTTTGCCTCTAACAGCTGAGATTTTTGATGGTGCACGTGAGAAGGAGAGTTCATCATCTTTAGTTAGTTGGATTTGCATTAGTTTTATCATCTCCTTCATTAGACTCTTTTGATTATCCTGATCTTCATCAAGCGTTTCTGACACTACTACAGGTTTGTCACGATTCATCAGTAGAGACACTTGCTCTTGCATTTCATTCAGTTGGTCTGTTATTTGTGAGATGGCGGAAATGGAGGTGTGAGTTGGGGGTAGCTGTTGTTCATAGCTTTGGGGCATAAGAATTAATTCAAAAACCAAGGGTCTTCTCTGTTGGTCCTGGTATCTGTCAAACACTGCCATTAGTGTAGCGGCGTATCTGTCTGGTGCTGTTATGAGTTTCTGCCATATATCAGGCGTCATCCTCACTCTCTCAGGGTCGTGGTCTTGGTGTGGGTCGTTAGGAGCAAAGTTGGGGTCGTACAACATTTCCACCACGGCTGTTTCCCTCAAATACTGGATACCCTGTTCAACTGTATCCCACCTTTTCATCACAGGCTTCAAGCTGTCTTTGAAGGGGTACCTTTCCTTCATGGCTGTTAACACTCGTTCCCAGAGGGAGGCAGCCCCATCCAGACATCGACTAATTCCTCTGTCAATAGCTGGATCTCTGGCAATGGCTCCTAGTTGGCGGGCTTCATTACCATCTAGAGACAAGCTACTGGCCCCATCGTCCCAACAGCGAACTAACCAGGAAACGATAGTTTCATTTGGGTGCCATGTAAATTCCTTTCTTGAGCCTTGGATTTCAGTCATCTTCAGAGGCTGACGAGTACTAATAGAGACTTCCTCTTCATCACTCTCTTCTGCATGTCTCTTAGTTTTTCCTTTTGCCTTTCTTGATGTTGGTGGTTTCGAGGAGGGCCCCTCACCTGGATCTTCCTCCACCTCCTCCTCCTCTTCTTCTTTTTTCCTTTCTAGACGCGAGGACACTTGTTTCCATTTCCTGCCTTCCACAGGGGCAACTGATATTGTTACTGGTGTCTCCTGTAATTGATCAGATTTGACTTGGAGATTCTCCCCTTTGGCTTGAACCTCAGCTTGGAAACTCTCTCTCTCCTGAACAGTATTATATAGGGCACGGTAAGCACAAGCCAAACCCCAAATAAGTTGTACCTCCTTAGATTTACCTAAGCCACACCGTCCCTGACTCAAATACTGGCTAAGTTTCTGGGGATCCCACAGGTGCTCAGGAGTGAAATCCCATGACATTGCGGGTCCCCATGCTTCTAAGATTTTTCCTAAATCTCTCCATATTCCCTGCCAGTCAGCATTCTCTGGTTTTGGAGGAGACTCCTTCTGCTTACCATGCCTGTATTGGAATACATTCAGGGAGACTGATACCATGCACAGGAGTATGCCCACAAAAAGGAGCATTAACTCAGTATTCACAAAACATCTGACAATCTGAGAAGAAAGCCTAGAAACTGGTCTGAACATCATGTTGTTTGTCAAATTTGCTATTCCATTTGGGATGTGTCGAAATTCAAATCATACCATGTTGCATGTAAGTAGCATGCATGTGTCTCCGTCAGTACCCTTATTTGGCTATATATGAACACAATTCCACAACAAGAAATCATGACATTGATAATTGGCCAATAAGTCGCGAGGAACATGATGGCTTTTAATCCCTTACACAGCGCCCCCATGATAAAGAGCGGGTTCAACGTTGGTAGCTGCTAAAAAGGGTTTAATGAATGTAAGCTTACGAGAGGAGAAAAAAAAAAAGAAAAAAGCACTGCCCAGACTAAGCAGTGCTCAAAGTTTACAAATATCCCAGAATACTGGCAGTACGCCTGGACTTTCAAGGTCAAGTTTTCCAGCACGGAAACCTGAACTGCTGATAAAGTTTCCTAACAAAGCTCCCCAAGAGCAGTGAGAGAGATTCGCTCTAAAAGCTAAAAAGCAGCTAATGCCTGCATTCTCCACCAAAAACTGTCACAGAGTTAACTAGATCAATCTATGCCTGTGACAGGGGGGCAGTAGGCACCTGCCCCCCCCCCAGCCCCACAAAATGGGAAGGGAAAGGAAAAAGGGGTAGGGAGATGGGAGCTGGGCTCAAGGAAGTAAAAAAAAAAAACAGTGGCAATGATCTGTGGAGGAAAACTTATTTCACTATGATATCGGAATGCAAGATAACACAATATGTGGGGAAGTCTCTGGACTCTCAGGACGTGCTAGAGACATAACAGCACACCAATGTCGGAGAAAGGACCACGGGAGACAAGTCTCATGCTATCATGATCAACAGGTCTCAACTTTATTAAGTATATCGTGGCTATTTATACATGAAATAATTAGCTCATACATATTGCAAAAGCGAAGCTCATGATTGGAAATTCCTCTAATACCCTTGAAGTGGCATTTGTCTGCTTTATTGTTAAGCACTACTTTATTTATACATGTTAACAGAGCATTCTGCAAAACACTCCTTAACCATTCACACAGGTGCTTAGCCAATCAGAGCCGTAAGATGTTCTTTCTTCTTCTGAAGGTGTCCTTGGTTCTCATGCCGCTTATCTTGCTCCGCAGCTGATGCTCTGTGCAGCCCCCTGACTCCAGAGCTGTTGCTCTGAACAGTTTTTCCTTACGTTCCCACACACCAGTGTGGTTAAAGGCTATTAGTCTGCTTTATTGTTAAGCACTACTCTATTTATACATGTTAACAGAGCGTTCTGCAAAACAGTGTTCAACTGTTTACACGGGCACTTAGCCAATCAGAGCTGAGATGTCTTCTTGTAAAGGTGTCCTTGGTTCTCATGCTGCTTATCTTGCTCCACAGCTGCTGCTCTGAACAGTTTTTTCTTACGTTCCCACAACAATATAATACATTCTAATTGAAATTGAGACTAATAAATCAAATAAAATAGGAGAGAGAGTTTCTGAGACCGAGTAAAACCTGAAAAGCTTGCTATGGCTAGGAAAGCACCTCCAGCACCCACTGCCAGGCAGTAAGAGACCGCCCAACCAGGAAGGACCAGATCCCATGACTTCTGTGATGTATAGGGACATGTACCCGGAATTGGAGCATTAATACTTTAACTTCCAGTTAAACATGATGTTATGATCCGGAATACTGAAAACCAAAAATCATAAAACCATGACCCAAGTTGAGGCTGGACAGGGCTCTGAGCAACCTGATGGAGCTGTGGTGTCCCTGTGCATTGCAAGGGAGTTGGACTCGATGGCCTCTAAAAGTCCCTTCTAACTCTAAGGATTGTATGATTCTGTGTTTCTAAAAAATCCCTCCTTTCTCGTCCTGTGTGCATCTCCCTGTGTTTAGCCTGCTCTGGCCTGGCCTGGTGGGTGCCACTTGGTCAAAGTGCACCAAAGACTGCACTAATTTAGTGGTTTAATACAAATATGATTTAATGCTGTCTTCAGAGGGCTCTTTTTCTGTAAGGATTTATCCTGAAGGATTCTTGTTTAAACAAAACGATGTGATTAAGATGGTAGTAGTTCTTTTCCTTTTGGGCTTGATCAAAGGTAATAGTTAATGGTACCTTTGCTTCAAAGGTAACAGTAACTTTTCTGCCAGTGCTTTGCTGGCTTTTGACTGTAGTTGAAATAGAAGCTCAGGCTGTTGCTGGGTTCCCCTTCCCTATGCTTATGCTAGTGTGCAAGGCCTTAAGTATGATCTCTGGGTCTCCTGTTTCCTAGGGAAATGATCAGGCTTTTAAATCTATAGGGTCATTTCCTGCAGTTTTATGCTGTATGCTGCACTTTGCCGCATGCTGTGGACTGGGTGCTGTGCTCCACTGTTCGTCAAACAAATTCTGCCAAAAACGATGGGAAGAAATGTTTTACAGTTATAGCAGAAGCTCATTGACCCTTCTGCTGCCAGTATATGAATTATATATTTGTTTTAAGATAAAATCCTCCTGTACGGAGATTTGGGTCGCACTGCCTGAGGAGAGGGTTAACAGGTTGGAAAGAAGCTACCTGAGACATAACTTGGGTGCTGAATTTGAGAATGCTGAGAGTAGGATTATGGATGTTTGAGTATGTGTTCTGGTTGTATGGAAGTGGGAGAGCCTATGGAGGGGCTGAATAACCTCTCTCTGTCACTGAAGACAGGTGTAGGAGGAAGTTCTTACCAGCATTTAATGTTAATCACTCTTGCAGATGTGTTCGTGCAAGCTGTCTGGCTAAGCAATTCCTGAAATCATAAACTAAAGGAAGAAAAAACTTCCTAAAATTTTAAATCTGCAAAACTATTTTCTAGGGCTTCCCATGTTTCCAACCACCATCTCCTCACTATGTTTTACTACTAATAAAACCAGGATTGCTTAAAATGCAAAAGGATTTAAATATGACATTGTGCTTATTACCTAGTAACTGCATATTTTCCTTCCCCAAATTACAATAGGAGCATGGAAGAATTCAGTAGAAGAATGGACAGCAGAAGACTGGAATGAAGACGTAAGTGTACCTTTTTAGATAGACAGCATTCATTATTTACCTTTTTCAGAGTCTTTGCATTGTTTTAAAAAAATAAGTGTTCCAATTAATTCTTTCCTGTATGTATGCAGTAATATTTCTTACTATGTTTCTTACTGAAATTCTAATTTATTAAAGAGTATATATTTAAATGAGCTTAGTTTTAAGTAAAATTGAATCAAGAAATATTTTTATTTTGCTGGGTGGTCTTTATATGGATAATAAAATTTTAAGTTTTATCCCAAATTAAGTATTAGTAAGTTATAGTTCTATACTGCTTAATGTCCATGAGTGTTGTCTGCATATTTCTGTCTAATGCTGTATAGGAATTTAAAGCCATATTATCACAAGACTTTAATCTTGACAGTAAGCTTCATCACTTGAACAGTTATATAGACTCATCTATGATGCTTTTTGCTTTAAGTGTGCATAATTACATTGGTTGCTCTGAAAGTAATGCTTCCTATTTATTTTCATGGAAACTACAACAGATACAAAGAGCACAATATCACTATTTGATAGAGCAAATTCTCAGCTACAAAACACTTATTTTTCAATATAGTCACCACCATTAGCTACGCATTTTCACCAGTGATGAACAAGAGCCTGTGTGCCATGCTTGTAAAAATCTGCACCAGTGGAGGTGACCCACTGTTTCAGTGCTGCTATGATGATGATGTTGCTGAAACGAACCCTTGGCTTCACTGTGCTCAAATCGATCATTTGGTCTTCATAAACTTTCAGCAATTGTCAATGAATGTCAATAGGTATCATTTTTTCTGCATGGAGGAATTCACTGACATGCCTTTGCTTCATAAGTACCTCCATGTCAGTTGCCATTTTGTCAGTCTGCCCCTCTGCTGCTATCTGTTGCATGGCAACAATGTGTAATGGAATATTGGCAGGAAGGTTCAGCCTCTACTGCCATACCACCAACATCCACTTCTGATGTCATGGGCCAACATAATAAAATAGGAGGCATTACTTTCAGAGCAGCTCTCATTTAACAGTAGTTTTAGCTTTTATTTGAAACAGCATTTTTTTGTTGTTGTTCAGTTTATCATACTAAAACAGTATTGTGGATTTGTTATTTCTGATATGTTGATGGTGGGTTTCCATGAGGATGCTTGAGTATATTTTCCTGTTCCCATTATATATAAGCTGGTCATAGGATTTTTTAAGTTTTAAATATGTTGTCTGCTAGATGTTTTGAGAATGGTTTTATCATAGGAACAAAGGCTGAATGAAAAGCACAGACATTTCACTGCAGGTAGATGAAATACCCTTGTGAAGCTACCTAATGCAAATGGTTCACAACTATTGTTCATTTGGTTCTGGGAAATTGCCAGTGTCTCAGTGAAAGATTGGTGAGTTTAGTGTATGGTGAGCATTAAATAATTTTGTCAGAAGATGATAATGCTAACTCTAAGAAATACTAAATCTATTTTATACATATTTTGACATAAAGTATTTAATGTTATATATATATTATAAAATATTAAATATTTGACATATTTTGTACACATTTTGACAAATGCCATTATTCCTGTAGGCTTCAGAATTAGTTGCTTGATTTAAGTGTGGAAATTAGTTTGCTGCAGGAGCAGGGTATGGTGTAAATTTAAACATAGCAGAGCTGGTAGCTGGAAATCTAGAAGTTGTATGGCATGCTAGTTTACTTGAAGAGAACATTTCCTCTCATACTTTGAGCACGCTTTTAGGTTGTCACAAATCATCTTCAGGCTCCTTGATTTTCTTAATTTCACAGAATCACAGAATCACAAAATCACAGAATCACCGAGGTTGGAAAAGACCTACAAGATCATCCAGTCCAACCATCCACCTATCACCAATAGTACTCACTAAACCATGTCCCTCAACACAACGTCCAAACGTTCCTTGAACACCTCCAGGGTCGGTGACTCCACCACCTCCCTGGGCAGCCCATTCCAGTGCCTGACCACTCTTTCAGAAAAGTAGTATTTCCTAATAATATTTCAGGATTCATCAATGTTTTGGCTGCTGTTTATCTTATTCTTTGTTATAGAATGGCTTGGGTTGGAAGGGACCTTAAAGATCATTTAGTTCCAAGTTATGTGGGCATAAGAAACTATAGGCTTCTGCTGTGGATGGACTGACTGGTTATACTAGTATAACCATTTACATATTTCTCCCTTTATCATTTTCAAATTCATGCTTGCAGAGCAATCAGTTCAGGATGTTAACTCCCTTAGCAAAAATGCCAAGAAGGAATGTCAAATGTTAGTTCACTGTGTACGCTGGAGTGCAAACCAACCTCTGCTGGTGGTTTGAGCTGAAATGTAAAACAAAGGGGTAGATGAAATGATTAAATGGGAACAGTGCATTGTTGTAGACTTCTGCAACAGGATTTATCAGAGTTGCTCTATGGAGTCCTAAATCATATCTACACAAGACAACATTAAGCTGATGATATACCATCTATCACATGATTTATTTTCTACTGGTATATTTTGAGTTATTATTGCCCAAATTAGTGTAGGTACTTTGGTACATACCACTGTGTGTTCAGTAGATTCCTAATGCTTCAATTAAATTGGTATTTGAGTCTATGGAAAAGACTTCACAGAAGTTGGTTTTTTTTTTTTGTCTTTTTAAGCAGAGTTGCAGCATAACTGGTTATAGCAGTAGTTTTGACACTTTTCATAGAATCATAGAATGGTTTGGATTGGAAAGGATCTTTAAGACCATCTAGTTCCAACCCCCTGCTATAGGCAGAGACACCTCCTACCACACCAGGTTGCTCACACCCCCATCCAGCCTGGCCTTGAGTGCTTCTGGGATGGGGCACCCACAGCCTTGCTGGGCAACCTGTTCCAGTGCATTTCTTCCTAATATCTAGTAAAAATATACCCTCTTCCAATTTAAAACCATTCCCCCTCATCCCGTAGGCCCCTTCAGGTCCTGGCAGGCCACTACAAGTTCTCCCCCAGAGCCTTCTCCTCTCTAGACAGAAAAGCCCCAGCTCTCTCAGCCTGTCCTTATAGAGGAGGTGCTCCAGCCTTTGATAATCTTTGTGGCCCTCCACTGGACCTGCTCCAACAGCTCCGTGTCCTTCTTGTGTTGGGAGCTCCAGAACTGAATCACAGAATCACAGGATCATAGGGGTTGGAAGGGACCTCCAGAGATCATCAAGTCCAACCCCCTGCCAAAGCAGGATCCCTACACCAGGT